ACGAATAGTGATCGATTTAAAAAAAAACCCTATAAACAGTACAAATCTGTGAACAGGGCAAAAACAGGGACCCCTGGAAATTCCGGAGGTGGGATCAGGTGCCTGGATGAGTAAGAATCCCCTGTCGTCCAGTCACACCCGCCGTGAGCTCTATGTATCTGTCAAGAAGACAGCACATTCTGTGGTCAAATTTAGTATAAAAACAAAGGCTTGCCAATTGGTATGAAACATTTCAGTTAAAATACACCCAGTGATAGATTATATTTGCTAACAAGGTCATTGTAACGACCATAGAATTTAGGAAATGTTGCATTTGAATGAGGTTGTTTAAATTCCTCTAACATCATCTTAACGATGGAAAGCTGAAGTTATCTCGTTTGTCATACAGTGTAGTTGTTACTTGGTCCTTATTGAATATATTCAGTAAAACATCTAAATATGAAACAGATGTGTCAGACGCTGTGGGGTCTTTTATTTCGTGTTCACTGGGATATATCGAGTAGACATTTGAATGGAAGTACTTACTGTTAATTGATATAATTTCTTCGATATATCTGAATGTAGAGTTGAAGCCACAGCAAGTGTTTTCTTCTTCTCATGTAGAAGTTTTTGGATAAATTCTGCTTCATAGCCATATAAAGACAGGTCGGCTAATAAAGGAGCACAGTTAGTGCCCATCGAAATTCCAACAATTTGTTGTAAGACCTGGCCTCCAAAGACTACATAGATGTTGTCAATGATGAACCCTAGCATCATTTTAATATCAATCTCAGAGTACTTGTGTGTAGAATCAGAGTGATTTTCAACAAAGAAGTTTTGTTGATGACCAATCACAAGATAAGAAAATTTCCGAGTTCCATTTTAATTGAAGAAGCAGTTGTCTATGATATCAAAAAGCCCAACTTTTAAATTATTGTGAGGTTGTATGAAGTGTAGAAAAGTCATACGTTTCGTTGTGATTAACTTTTGAAAAATTTTCTGATTTTTGATTTTCTAAACAATTTTTTGAATTCTCGAGAATTCACATTTGATTTACACCATTCTAGTGTTCGAGAAGTGGTGTATATCAGATGTGGATACTTAAAAACTCCAAGGAACTTTCAGAAAATTTGAAATCACAAAATTTTAATAAAATCAATAACATCACAACGTACGACTTTTCAACACTTTATACAACCATTCCCCACGATAAATTGAAGTCCAGGCTTTTTGATATCATAGACAGCTGCTCTTTCAATTAAAATGGAACTCGTAAATATACTTACCTTGTCATGGTCATTTGCAAAATTATTTTGCTAAAAAAGCATTCTGATTGTATACACAAGTACTCTGAAGTTGATATTAAAAAGATATTTAAGTTTCTGATTGACAATATCTATGTAGTTTTTGGAGATCAAGTCTTCCAACAATCTGTTAGAATTTCCATGGGTACCAACTGCGCCCCGTTATTAGCAGATCCATTTTTGAATTCATATGAAGCAGAATTTTTCAAAAACTTTTACATGAGAAGAAGATAACACTTGTTTTGGCCTTCAAATCGACATTTCGATATATTGACGACGTATTATCAATTAACAATAGTTACTTCCATTCATGTGTCGACTCGATATATCCCAGTGATCTTGAAATAAAAGATACCACAGAGTCTGACAAATCTGTTTCATATTTGGATATTTTACTTAAAAAAAAAAGTCAATGGTAACCTAACAACAAAGCTTTCTAGTAAACTTCAACTTTTCAGTCGTCAACTTCCCTTATTAGTCCCCTACCGGTGAAACCTGAGGGGACTATAGGTTTCCTCTGAGTCCGTCCGTCCGTCTGTCTGTCTGTCCGTCCCTCTGTCTGTCTGTCAGTCTGTCCCACTTGGTTTTCTGCACTTTTTTTCAACGCTTGCAGATATTGAGCTGATTTTTGGTATGTGACTTTACCTTGATGAGTTATAGATCAAGTTTGCATTTCATTCCGCTTCATTGATTTTTGACGGAATTATGGCATTTCCAATTTTTAGCGGGAACCAGATTACACTTGCCGGTAGGGGACTAGTATTGTTAATGTAATACTCTCAGAATGCTTGTTTAATTAGCATTATACACTTATCACCTGCATATGAGGTTTATGTCTCTCAGTTGATTCGATACGCTAGAGTATGCTCTACGTATGAGCGATTTCTAAAACGAGGCAAGCTATTGACAAACAAGTTCATGAAACAAGGATATCAACAGTCTTGTTTGAAGTCATCATTTTGCAAGTTTCATGGTCAATACAATGACCTTCTCAGTACATACAAACTATCATTGAGTCAAATTCTGACTAACGTTTTTCATACTAATTGTTATGCCATTATTTATACACTGAGCTGTCAAAGAATTTTTTTTCGTTTTCCCACCGATCATGACAAGGAGCATACGGCGGGTGTGACCGGTTGGCAGGGGATGCTCACTCCTCCATGGCACCTGATCCCACCTCTAAATTTTTTTGCTCTGCTCCAAATTTGTATCGTTTTATTGGACTTTCGAGATTGAATACTATTCGTTATCTTCATATTTCATTCTAGAATATGTTTTAGCACAGTACGTCTGAAGTTTCTCCTTTACAGCAATTAATATTTTGCGAGGAGTAAAAATAGGGGCTTTGTAGGGCATTTTCAGGACCCGGCAATGAATCTTTCTAAGGAATTTTATGAAGTTTTGTAATCCAATATAGGTAGGATAGATACGTAGGATAGATCAAACTCACCTTCGTTGACTAGATTTTAAAAGTAATAAAGACTGAAATATGCTTTTGAAGAATTGCATCCTTAGAAAGTGAACTGTGAGCATAAGTACACAGTAGGATTTCCAGATGTAAAATTAAAACTTTCCACTAAAACACAGATTTACTAATGAGCCTTTCAAACAAATGAAATATGTGGAGATAACGAACAGTATTCGAGCACAGAAGACCAATAAACATTAGAAAATAGGAGCAGAGCAAACACGGACCTCTAAAACTTCAGAGGTGGGATCAGATGCCATGGAGGAGTGAGCATCCCCTGCCGACCGGTCAATCCCGCCGTGTGCTCCTTGTCGTGATCGGGAAATAACGGGAAAATCCGTCGACAATTCAGTGTGTAAATAATGGCCTAACAATTAGTGTGAAAAGAGTCAGTCAGCATTTGACTTATTGAAAGATTGTATTTGCTAGCAAGGTCATTGTATCGACCATAAACTTACGAAATGATGATTTTAAACAAGACTGCTGATATTCTTGTTTCATCAACTTGTTTGTCAATAATTTACCTAAATTGTTCATACGTAGAGCATGCTCTAGCGTATCGAATCAACTGAGAGATATAAACCCCGTATGCAGGTGATAAGGTTATATTGCTGCATAAGTAAGGGAAGTTGACGATTGAAAAGTTAAAGTCATCACGTTTATCATAAAGCTTTTTTGTTATATTACCATTTACGTCTTTTTCTAATAAAATATCCAAATATGAAACAGATGTGTCAGACATTGTGGTATCTTTTTTCTCAAGCTCGCCGGGATATATCGTGTCGACATAAGAATGGAAATAACCATTGTTATTTGACAATACGTCGTCGATATATCTAAATGTTGAGCTGAAGGCCACAGCAAGTGTTTTCTTCTTTTCACGTAAAAGACAAGCCTGCTGGAACCATAACATACTGTTCATGTAGTGATTCTAATTCTTTTATCACCTCCGATTTAGTGAATAAGGAAGGATAGATGGTTTGCATATTGTCTTTTAACTTTCTAAAAAGATTAATCTTTAATATATTTGTAAAACCCTGAAAGTGTTCAGGTGTTCTCCATCACATTCCCCCCAACGTCTGACATAATCTTCGACAGAATTCATAATAGAAATGAAGTTTTGTCGCCATTTAAAAGATCGGAGCTCCCAGTATTTATTACCTTTTAAAATGACTAGGTCATCATTTTCAACTGTTAATATCACCAGTAATGATATGTCCAGAGGAAACATAGATGAAAGAAGAAGAACACTTAATTAAGAGGAATTTAATAAGATTTTCAATATCTAGGCAATGTAATGTAGGTTTATAGTTGAAAAATTTGGAAGCAACATTTTGAGAATATCTGTAGGAAAATGCAGATATGCAGTTTTCAGCTTGAAATATGGTGGAATGCAAGACTCAACTTTTTATGATTAAAAACGTTACCAATGTTCACAGCATCTATTCCTTTGATGGTTAATTTGGTGTAATTTAGTGCGAGGAACCGACAGATTAAATCGGAATTACCAGTATGTAGAATTCGGAATGATTTTGCAGATGACGGAGTCGCAATACAAGACAGGTCTATAAGAATTTTAGAGTTCAATTTATATTGATTAAATGTATGATTAAATGTTGATTGGATCAACAAAAGTCCAATTGACCATATTTTGAGCAAAGCAAACACGCTCCTCTGAAAACAGAGGTGGGATCAGATGCCATAGAGGAGTGAACATCCCTTGTCTACCTGTCACACCCGCCGTGTGGCCCTTTTCATGATCATATAAACAAATAAATCCAAGTCAAATCTGTGTGAAAATAATGACTTAACAATTTGTATGAAAGAAGTGAGTCGACATCCGATGTAATGATAGATTCTATTTGCAAACAAGGTCATTGTATTGACCACAGAAATTATGAAATACTAATATCAAATGAAATTCAAATGGGAAAAATTCAAAGCAAGAAGCAAGGCTTATTTTCTTTGAAATTAATTTTTTGTCTTAACATGATATGAAGAAAATGTGACACGGTGCAAAGAAAGAGCAACAGTCTATTATTAGTTCGAATTCTCTCGATTTTGCAATGGCGTTAAGGAGGCCAGATTTCAATAAAACTACTGCCCTTGGCCCAAACCTAATTGACTCAACTTCCTTCACATTGGTAGGGTAATTCTTGATCATCATGATCATGCTCAGAATTTCTAAGACAAAAAAAAAACAAAAACAAAAAGAACAAAAAAACAGCAACAACAACAAAGTCAACCTGGATGATGGATGTTTTTATTCATGACATGATGATTACAGCAGGTCACGTGACATAAGACAAGATGATGTATGCAGCTTTCTGTGTTTACATCCATGGACAATCATGGTAAAAGCTTAAGGCATCTGTCTGACACTAATTTGTCAGTTCTGAAGATGGATCAGTCTTAAATAAATAGAATGTACAATAATGTAGGACTTTCTATACAAGGTATATGACCAGATATGACGGCCTTTCTCCTATGGACTGCAAACACAGCTATCAGCATTAACCATTTCACATCACAAAACAAATAAAATCAATATCCTTCTATTAAAAAAAATCAATGTATTTCTGCCTGAAATGCTGTATAAAAATATAAATATTTTAACATTTCAAAACCTAAAACATTCAAAATGATCGTAGTCCAACTTCTTATTGCATGGTATATAACTGACCAATTAACATATTCAAATGGTGACCACAACTTTCAAGGTGTAACAAGCAGTAAATCCTGTCGCTGATACATAATCTAACAGCTTAATAAATTATCATTACACAAAATATACAATTCATGGACAAAAAAAAAAAAGAATAATGACAATAATATTCTCAACATCATGATAATCTACTCCAGACACATTGATAAGACATGACACAATGAATGATCCAAAGATCAGTGTGAGAATTGACACAAATTTTTCTCTGGCTAGACCTATGAGAATTCACAAGCTAAAATGATGATCTCTATTTACAAGGCCTGAATTTCCCTCCACAGCCATGAAACATAAAACACACTACTTTTCCTCCCCATTTTGGGGGCTTATCTAAGTTGAGACATGTTTACACAATCATTCTTTCGGTTTCCACTGGAAAAAAAAATCTGGAATGCAATTACTCACCTCAAATAATCCAATAGCTGAACATACGTCTACCAGTGATCTTATAACAGAGTTTAAATTATCTAACTATACAAAACGAGAGGTCAAAAGTTTCTATTGGCACTAACAAATATATTTTCTATTTCATTTTTTTCTAACAAAAACAGGAAAATAACATTCACCCAATTTATCAATGAAAATACACAACAAAAAACTTAGCTTTTCCAAAATATAATTTTCTTTTTTCAATTAAAATCAAAATTTCTAAAGAAAAAATCCTACATTGAACACAGCAGAATTGCAATGAGACATTTAATAAAACCATTATTGTGGAACCATATTAAAAACAGTGAACAGATTGAGCAGGTCTAAAATTCTGAATTCATTGACATATTAAAATATAAATGTTTATTCCTTCAAAATATGTTCATTTTCAATCAATGATAATTTTGTATTAAAGTCTAAATCAAGTCCTAAAATTTAGCAACCAAAAAAAAGTGCTAAACTGAAATACAAAATACACATCTTGGGGATAATTTTAGAAAAAGAACTATAATAACAAAGAAAATTTACAATTTTAAATAGCATTACAAGAAAAAATAGTAAATTAAGACCAAAACTATATATTTTAACACATTGCCAAGGAGTAAATAAAATGAAATCAATGGAGAAGTAAGCCTGAGTGCCTGTAAATTTTATCTGTGCATGTACCCACTAATTCCCTCCTAATTTGTCTACAATTAACACATCTAGCAATAACAGATGCAGATTGAATCTTTTTCGTTGTATGTCTGTAAAAAATGGCCACCAAGAGAATAAACTCCATTTCCTCAACATGAGCAAAGTGAGTGTGACCCAGATTAATAGAACAGACAATGATCTAGGTCTATAATTTGTAGACTCTTCCATCCACTATCAAATATTTACAAGTACATAATTATATCTGTACATTTTTTTCATCATTTAAATGATTTTCTACAGAGAAAGTGTCCATCTCCTTGGAAACCAGGAATGCACCAATCACATTCTTACAAATAAAACCGTTCTAACAGCCAAAGATGTTTGGAGCTTGCTAGGTCCTGAATAACAAAAAGAAAACTTAAATCAAAAATAAATATATAAGTATCAATCAACTTATGTGTATGTGTGTGTGTTTGTGTTTCAAATAAAGACAAGGTCCTCAAAGTGACTATTTTTATTTACAGATACATTTGACAGTACACATTTTCCAATTCAAATTTATACCTTCTGTTTGTTGGACCTCATAGTGCAAAATAAGCCAGGATGATTTATAAATTTAAATATAAATATTGTAAATCTACAAATTCTTCATTATTCTTAAAGATAAGATAAAACTTTATTGAATGAGTTAACTACTGTACAAAAGACTTACTCAATGATATTCTGTTGGCTTTCTCCATCAAACATTCACTCTACAAAATCAAATTGAGAAAAATATAATACATCACTCATTGTCACTAAAGATAATGATTTTTAGGATACAAAGACCATGAACTGTACAAATAGAAGTCATGACTGTAAACAGTATCAATGAACTGAAAAAATGGCCAAAAGCACTCGCAAGCACTTTCTCACGGTCAAATACAGAAAAAGAGTATAATTCTTATTTCCTTGTTATCATATGACTGTTATCTCCTCACACTTGAGGTTCACGGTGTAATTTTTAATTACTGGTTCATATATACTATTTTTTAGTTGCATGTAGTCAAAAATATTTCAATGTACTTGTACCATAACTTAACACCCAATTTTTTTTTCATGCCTAACATAACTTATTACCAATATTCTAGGTCACAATGCTCAACTGGACAATGTTTGTAGTCTTAGGCATGATTAATCAGTTTCTACATCTCTAAAACCTATTTAAATATATCTTCTTCAATCATACAGTAAAATATCACTACAACCATGCAGGAATATTAATGTGACCAATCACATGAAAGACAGTTGCATCAAAATCCATCAAAATGTTAGTGATAAGACTTATTGACATAAAACAAAATTTTGCCACCAGACTGTTTAAATGGGAATCCAATGTTCAGTCCTTCTAAAATTTGCCCCCCCCCCCCCAATAAAAACATGATAGTAATGTTTTTAACTGAAATACTAGATTTGCATTGTTATGAACCAACTTTAACTTATGAAACTTAAGAAATCCACCATGAAAAACTAAATTTTTTTCCAGTTAAAATTTTGTAATCTTTTCCTCTATAATAACATGTTTTGATTGAAATCTGGGCATCCATTCTAATTGAAATCTGGGCATCCATTCTAATTGTTGATTTTTTTTTAAAAATTGTTAACACACACACATATGACAGTCAAACTTCATCAGAAAAACTCCTTGGAGTTCATGAGTTAGATCATAATAAAGTACCAGTAGTACTATTTGAATGATATATTGTCTTGTGTCCCTTTATACACTGAAATTCTTTTTTTTTTTTTGGTGTTACTTTAATCACCCATCTTTTCACATTAGTGTCACACACTTTTCTAACCCAATTACCTCACAATTTGCCTTTTCTGGCAAAAGTTCTGTTATTTCCCTGAGGAAATTCAAGTAGAGTTTAATTCATGTCTGCAGCTGGTACATGGATTATACCAATCTCCTTAGTCATTTCTGTGATCAACCCCTCTACACCTTACCCTGTCTAAATCAATCCCAATGTCTCCCCAAAGCACAATGCCCACAAAATAATAATTGTTCTTCCTAATTGTAAACTAATACAATTATCTGTTAGATCAGTTTTATTCTCCTCTTCATACTGCAGATTCCCACTCTATAAGACATGATACTAAACCAAAAACAGGGATTCCAATTCAATATAAACTCCAGGTGTCTCTAATACCTGTCCTCACTTTATCACTTTGTTTGCAGTTTTGGTTTCTTTGTTTGTTTGTTGTTTTTCTGTCTTAATATTGTTTCACTTCGAATCAATTACAAAAAACTTGAAGATTATGACTTTGCAGCTGTTAACATTCATTTGGTATTTTCGAGTTCATCAGGCTCTAACGTGACACAAAAATAGCAACACAGATCCCTCATCTTCCATACACATTTTTCTCATACATAATACATTGTCACTGGATGAGTTGGTTAAACATATGAATCAATCAAGAAAACATTTACAAATATATATTTTTATGATAAATTGGAGGAAGCATGCTATTAGAAAGCTGAATACATTCTCTATAAATATATATAAATATAAATATATATAATATTTCTAAAGCACTAAACTGTGAAAGACATGATTACTAATCTAATCACTATTTCTCTGGCTATAAAGAAGATTCTAAGAATACTTTTTATTAGTTATCACCATTTCATTAATTCAGAATAATATGTTAGAATTACTCCCATTATCCTTACACAATAAAATATGTAGGCTACAATATCATAATAAATTAAAAATACTTTGATAATAAAATTATTTCCTTTTAGACAGTTAAGTAGAGATATGATGAACAGGCCTGCTATCCTACCAAATAAGACTTCTCAGTAAAAATGAAATACTCATTCAACTGGAGAGATTTCGCAGAAAATTAATATTTTGTTTATATTTTCATTTTTTTTCTCCCCCCCCCTTTTTTTTGGCCAAATTCCTGAAATAAATCATCCAGAGAAATAGGCTGAATTAAAATGTAAAAATTTTTAATATAAAAAGAGTAAAAATTTTAAAAAGATTGAAAAAATGGCAATTTAAATTTGAAAAAAAGTTGGTTGAAATGTTAGACCAACTCACCCCTGGCGTGTCGCTGGGTGTTCAGGGGCTGGACTTGACATAACTTAATGCCATCACACTACCCAATCCTACATATAGGAGACACACGGAATTAAATAGCCAAGGGCGACCACACCTCAGTCACAACAGTACACAATAAACTTGGCATCCCCTCCTTAACATGCTACAAACCTACAGCCCTCCTTTTCCGAGCTACAAACCTACACAATTAGTGCCCTCCATCCCAAGCTACAAACCTACACAAGTGCTGCCCTCCTTTCCCAAGCTACAAACCTAAACAAGTGCTGCCCTCCTTTCCCAAGCTTCAAACCTACACAAGTGCTGCCCTCCTTTCATAAGCTACAAACCTAAACAAGTGCTGCCCTCCTTTCCCAAGCTACAAACCTAAACAATTAGTGCCCTCCTTTCCCAAGCTACAAACCTACACAAGTGCTGCCCTCCTTTCATAAGCTACAAACCTACACAATTAGTGCCCTCCTTTCCCAAGCTACAAACCTACACGGGTGCTGCCCTCCCCTCTCAAGCTACAAATCTAAACATGTGCTGCCCTCCTTTCCCAAGCTACAAACCTACACAATTATTGCCCTCCTATCCTGAGTTACAAACCTAAACAATTAGTGCCCTCCTATCCCAAGGTAAAAACCTATACTAGTGCTACCCTTTCATCCCAAGCTACAAACCTACATAAGTACTGCCCTCCTTTCCCATGGTAAAAACCTATATTAGTGCTACCCTTTCATCCCAAGCTACACACCTACACAGGTGCTGCCCTCCTTTCCTAAAACAATGAACTTTTCTTTGCATCCATGCATTCTGACTTTATTGCTCCAGGCTATAACAAGTTATGCTTTGAATTTCTACTTCTTACAATCAAAATTAATTACACGTCAGAAGTATTTACAATGAAAAAGTATCCTTAATCCCTAGTTTAGATCAAAATTTGAGGATGATTTAAATTTAAGGAATGTTTGAATTCAGCTTTAAAATGCTGAACTAAATTAAGACTTTTTATACCCCCTCATCCAAATAAAATGAGGAAATTTGCTGAATTGTTATTATTGCAAATTTCAGAACTTTTCTCTGTATACATATGGAATATTATGTGGTAAATGGTTCATTATCTGGTAAATGGTTATCAGTAATTAACTAGCACTGGATACCTATGAGAAATTGGGAATATCAATTTTGCTTAAACTGTATAAGCAAACAAATTTTTGAACTTATCCCTTCCCTCCTGCAATGGTAAATTCTCTGGTTTCCCCACTGTTTGTAAGCTGTTGTGTTGAAGTGGTCGCCCAGTGTTAATATACTAACAGCAAACATCAATCGATAATACTGTGAGAGGGTAGTACACACAATCATTCATGCCCCTTATATATAAGTATATATAAGTGCCATACAACCAAATCAACCACAACATACTTTATGTTACTTGACGTTCAATACACAAAAGAGGAGTTTTGATTTTAAATTCTAATGATATTATTTTTAATTACAAGCTACAAAAGTGAACTTATTAGTAAAAATACTCTTCAGCATTTTAAAGATTTATCAGTTTTCAAAAAAATATACGTAATATTATTTTTAGAAGTTTAAATACTGTTTGTTGTGGCTTAGATTGTTGTATTCAACTACAAAGTTTTTACTTCTTTTTTAATATAAATTTTTATGAGTGTTTTAAGTAAAGAAAAATTCTAATTTTTTGGTAATTTTTCTTATGCAAAATCTATAAATAATTAAGAAAATGTGAAAATTTGTGTGCAGATTTGAATTAACAGAAAAAGAATTTACAAAGCCATTTACCCGGCAACCAAATTTTAAAAAATTCAAAAGTAAATGATGTTAAAAAAGAAAGGCAAAGAATTAAAACTTGATATTCAATAACAAAGAAAGAAACTAGATTGTTCAAATAGATAGAAATAAAATATTTACTACACACTTCATGTTTCTGTATTTATTTGTGGAAAAATAAAGGAAATTAGAATTCTTGATTAATAAACAATATATAAATCTCAGCAGTCTGAGTATACAGTTAATGAAAGGAATTTTCTGGGGAAAAAAATCAAATATGTAGCTTGTGACTTGTAAGATTTTTTTTTTGTTTCCTTCAATGCATCTTTTGATAGAAAATTCCTTTCAAGCAACTTTTGATTTGTTTATTGGACAATCTAGCCAAACCCAGTGACTAAGGAGACATGCAAATACACAGCAAGCAGCCATTTTTACCTTGCTGCATGGGATATCCCATCATGCCTCCCTGTCCAGGAAACTGCTGCTGGGTTCCAGGTGGAACCATTCCATAAGGCTGCATTCTACAAAATAAAGAAAGAAATCACTATGGTTCTCAAACTCCTCCATACTGAATTCGACAAGTCAGAAAACTTCATTCATATGTCATGAAGAAGTCTTAAATCTGCAATTACAAGTAAAAGGGTTCTGATAAACACATAATTTGCTTCTGTTTTTGATACTATACATTAAAGTGAGACCAGTCATCCAAACCATTTTATTATGTGTACTTACCCCTGCATCTGATATCCTCCATTTCCGTAGCCATAGCCCTGAGGCATGTACTGCTGCTGAGGCATGTAGGAGGGGTAAGCTGGTTGGTAGCCGTAGCCCATGTTGTAATACTGTCCCCCATACTGGGAGGGGCCCTGGGACCCAGATTGAGACTGACAAAGATAAATATGTATCAAATGTCAACATCATGTATACTGTAAATCAATCTTTACTAATGAAACTTTTTTTTTGCTTAATTAGATACAATTTCTTGGTGACCAAAATAATTTTTGTCTACATTTATATTATGAAATATTATATACAACAGTAACCAAATTTCATGAAGTTTTAAAATACTAAATAATATCTTGTGAAACTATGATGCCTTCAACATTTGGTAATCTAAAGTAATATGTGCATGATTTACATTACCTTACATATATATGACAATGTTGGATATTTTGTAACAGTCAGACTAGTCCTTGTGTGTGTGTGTGGCTGTGTGTGTGTGTGTGTGTGGGGGGGGGGGGGGGGGAAGACCTACCATTTGAGAGGGGGACCCTGCCCCTCCTCCTGACTGATTAGGGTCATTGGATTCCTTTCCCCACGAACACTTGACCATATTTTCTCCAATTACTGTTCCATTTACTCCACAAATAGCCTTTGTAGCCGACTCTTTATTTGAAAATCTAAAAAAGAGAATCAAAGAAAATTTTGTGTTAGAAAGCAGACATACATGTAGAATATGTGTTTAAAAGGGTTGGTTGCTTTTCTATTTAAGTTATTGCATTTTTGTTGGAATATTGCATTAAAAAGGAGGGCAACACAAAGTGGAGCCCCCCTCAAAATAGAGCACTTCGATCCTGATATAAATTAGTTCTTGTGTAACTACCGCTGCGCAGGCACTAACCCACATATACACACTAACAAGCACACTACTATATCTCCTCCTAATCCACAGGGAGGGGATAAAAAATGTTCTGCACAACTATTCAATCATAACTTCATAAAATATTTACAAAAATATTGAGCTGCAGTTGTACCAGAGTGACTCCTAAGTGCATCATTTCTTTGTTCTTAAGACATACATGTATCATTAAGTACCTGTGAACCTTTCATGTCAAACATTGCAGTGTCAATTCCAACAGATACTCTGTAATCTTGCATCTTCACTTAAGCAAAAGTAATTGATATTATTACCCATAAGAAATAGACAGTCACATTTTAGAGCCCTATTCTACACAAACTCAGCAAAAATTTAATAACAGGGAAAATATTTGAAAATCTGATGAAGATCTCTTTCAGCCAGAAATACCTACACTCTCATTAAAAATTCTTCAGTCTTTTCAATAGGATTTCCTATGAAGGTCTCTGTCTAGGATGATGGAAGGAATTAATTAGGGAAGATCAATTGTTGCTTAGAGGTACCTTTGTAATGGGCTAGAACTTTCAAACAATCTATCCCCAGATTAAACTAATTAAAATATTCGACACCTTTGTACTAAAATCCATCAACGGAAATATTCCATCAGCATTGATTTGGCTGCTCAGAATGAATTGATTTTTGTTTATTTATTGTTGGGAAGTGTTTGAAGAACAAAACAATGAAAATAGATTGAAAAAAAAAAACATCAGTGCCATTTAAATGAATCAACTTAGTACCATCATTTTCCTACAGTGTTTAACACAGCCTTTTGTAAAATGTTTGTCCTAAATGAAAATTTAATCCCTTTCTCTAAAAATATTCTGGGGGACAAATACAATTTGGCAGGCAATCAACCTTCAGTCTCCAATGTACCACTGACACAAATACTTCAGTGAAAAGACACAGCTCTAGATTGCCCCAATTAAACACAATGTTGTAAGTGATGTTCTAACACATGTCCCTAGACATATACAATCCATCCCTCCTGCCACAAGACCTGTTAGAATTCTTACCTGATAAATGCATATCCCTTTTCCTTGAACACTCGGATTTCTTGGATCGTGCCGTAGGTGTTGAATGCACTCTTTATTGCTTCTTCTGTAATAAAACACATGGAAAAACCTTAATGAACATGAACACCCATATACTGAAAACAGTACTGTGGCCAGTAACAGAAATATACAGTCAAATACAATTATAGAAAACACACTTAGAATGAATTCACACATACAGATAGGCAATTTTTATTCCCTGTAGTTTTAAATCATATTATGAACTTATGGGATATAACAAATTTGGCTTAAAACAAATCAGAATGGCACTTCTCTCTAAGAGCATTTTACTGTACAAATTCTGACCTCGGTAAAAAATTATTTAAGATATGTTAAAATTTAAAAGCTTTGATATAAATTTCAAACAATGCTATATTGCTCACAAAATATTGAACTGAAATAAATTTCAAAACTATCAATCTTAAAACAAATTGAAGATAACTATCATTAAAAGGAAATATTCATTTAACTTATTTTTCAACAAATATGCAGAATAACTTCATTTTCCTACACACAATGGACAAATATTAGAAGTATATTATAAGAATCTATCAACCAATGAGAGAGCCTGAGAGTGAGGATTTTCCTGTAACTGACCTGTGACCCCGGGTCCTATACCTCCACAGTAAACAGTACAGTTGGTAGAACTAGATAAACTGTAGACTTCTTCATACGACAGCTGCTTTATTTGGGCTAAAAATAAACCAAAATCACAGTGAAGTCCATGTATTATGTACCTGTAAATATACTAGTATATAATTCAATTATGTACCTGTAAATATTCTAGTATATCGTTCAAGATTTAGGGAGTGACTTAGCTTTATATTTCAATTACAGGTTGGCAGCTAAGGTTAGTATTTTGTGAACATAATTCAGATGTTTATTACACTAAGGTAGTAATTAATGAAAGCTCTTAAGAAATTTCTGCATCAGATGATAATATCTAGGCCGATGTATTATTAAGTTACATGTGTACAGAGATGTGCACTTGGAGCTTACATTCTTTAGGTACAGGGGCGGGAGGTTTTCGGGTGGCCCAGTTGGTTCTGATTGGTCTACTTCCTAGCCACTGTCCATTCATATTACTGATCGCTGTCTCAGCATCCTAAATAAAAAACACGGAGGATCAAATCACTGACAAAGTACACACACCGAATGCAGAGGCAGATCTTCCTGTGCCCACGTAGCCTTAGATTGATTAACTAATCACTACTCATTTCACTTCTATTAGACAATTTAAGGTTTTTGTCAGGATATTGTCTCTGCAGGACTATTGTAACATAGCTTGTGATATTGATCTTAAAATTCCTATAGAAGACAAAGCATCTGTACAGTGCTGGTGTTTCTATCATTTTTATTATCAGTGGCAATACAAAGCATTTCAGTTAGATGAAACATTTATTTTTATGAATTTTATTTCATTCTGTTATTCTGCCACAGAGTTCAATTAAGTACATATTGTTTAAAATCTTCAGTATCTTATACACTGAAGACAATGAAAACACACTGACATTTTCTAATAATTAAATTCTGGTTTAACACACAATTTGATTGGCTGAAAAAGTTAGTTTAGATTGTATAACCTGTGATGCAAAAATTACGATATCACTTGTGTCAAAAACTTATATATCTCCTTTTAATGTTTAAATGTTGTTCATTTTAATGCCAATTTTGAAGACAAAAAGTTTCATTTTAATCAACTAACAATAGCTAACTAAAATTGAAGTTATACCCAAGCAATATTTATATATCATGGGTTGGACCAGTTAATACTTTTTCTTATAACAACAAGTAGAAACTGGCCCAACCCAGGTTATGTTTAAATTGTGTAACTTTGAAATTCTCTCCTTAAATACCTTGAAAATCACCAGTGAAATTTTGGGGAGAACTTACCACTTTGTTGACATACGACACAAAACCATAGCCCTTGGATTTCAATGTCTGAGGATCTCGGATGATTTTACAGTCTCTGTAAATATCAATTACAACATCATTCTAACATTACATAAAATGTATTTTAAAATCAAGAATAAGCTACAGCAAGCTCAATATTTCCATTGTAAAGTGTGAAAGAATCTCAGAAATTGTATTTAAAATGGATTGCAAATAAACCAGCCATACCAACATACAAAAATCTAATTATACAATGTTAAAACTGTAAATTCAGGAATCCTAAATCAAAGTGCATGTGGTTATATTTTATCATATATATATGGACAAAAATGTAAAGGCTCAATATACAGAATTCAAAATATCTCCAAATTGTTAATTTCTAAATGTACAAAAATATCCAATTACTTATAAATGTGTTGGCTGATGTAATTTTTATGTAAAACAGTTGGCAAATAACTACAGGATTGACAGTTTATGCAAAAATAATTTGGTTTCTTTGGAAATTCCCTACAATATTGACCATAGTAATTAATTTACAGCTATACACTGCTGGTGCTCATGTCATTTTCCTATATATTGGAGATCTATGGTTGTTTTTATTGACAACAACAAGTGATAAATCTTCCCTTGATTTCATCCTGTCCCCTGTATCATGTGCCCAAAAAAAAAAAAAAAAAACTGGACGTAACAAAAAAAAAATAGAAATTAATTTCCGTTATTCTGGCAATTTTATTTTTCTCAATCTTTCCAAACTCCCACAGGCCCCCTTACAGAATTATTCTATAAATAGGTTATCTGGGGAATTAACCAGGATCCCTGTCATATATTTCAATGTGTAAGCTGATTTTAGTCTAATCCTCATAAGCCCTGTTTGCCTGCGTGCTGAGTGTCTATCAGAATTTCAATATTTTCCCAACATTTCATCATAAAATCCAAAATTTTCTTTTGAAAAGTCTAAATGAAGTGTAATAAGATTTTCTTTAAGTGTAATAAATCTGCCTGATTCATGAATAACGCAGATCCTGAGTCTTGTTTACACTGCAGTAAACTTAAGCAAAATGAAATAAAAGCAACCAAAAGTCATAGATGTAAAGTAAAATAAAATATCTCGTTAGAAAAATGAAAAGCTTTGCTATTGATAAAATGCACAGAACTCTATTCATCTAGTAAATGTCAAGAAAAAAAAATATTTACTACAGACTGCAAACTGATCAAAAACTGAAAACAGATAAATAAGTAATACAAAAAAAATTATTTCTTATACTTGTATATCAAGCTCTGTGTTGAAAATGGTAAAAACTGTATTTATGAAATAAAAAAGAGAAAGTAATTGCTGGTTTGTATATTTCCTGTACAGAGGGGACAAAACACTACATCATGTATATCAATAAGTGCAGTAATCAACGAATCAACAAGAATTATAAAAATAACATGCAATTCACTAGAACTTTTATTAGATAAACCATGCAAAAGTGTAAAAAAAAAATTATGAAAAATAAAACAGAAAAACTTATGAATTTCAAAAAATGTTGTGTATTGTGTAGGACTGTTACATTTATAATTGCTGTGTCTTAGATTGCACAACTTAAATATGATCATGCTGTTTAAAACTAAGTATCTGAGCAACTTTCTAAAAAAAAAATGTCAATTGGAAAAAAAAATGAAAGGTGAAAATCACATCAAAATCATGTTATTTTTTATAGAAGAAAAGAAAAGATAAACAACACAAAAACCAGACTCAAAATCTGCTTAATGCCACATCAAGTTAATGTAAAATATTCCCTCCAAAACACATTCAAAATAGTCTACGGCTAGCAAAAGAGCAATCGGTGTTTGTGAACGTCACAAAGTCTACATCAAAATGGGTATATTGGTTAAACAATTATAAAATATACTGAAGGAAAATAAACAACAAAGTGTATAAAAATTGTAGAAATTTATATCAATAAAAGGATTTATAATAAAAAAAAAAAGCCATACATCTGGAAGTTCCTTGGCCGTGGTTCGCTACCTAAATATTAATTAAACAGTTCATCAAAATTATCATTTGTCAACAAGTACTGACTTGAAGCTAATGCCGAATGCATTGCAGTTGTTTGTTGTTGTTTAATGTTACTATTGATCATTTTAGGAAGATGAGAGGATAATGTTCAATGAATAATGAGGATTTGCTCTCTTATTTCATACTTCAGAGATCACCAGACAAGCTGAGATGTTCAAAAGGTGCAGACACATTTTTATTTTTGAGGAGGGGGATGTTTGCATATAAGAAAGGCCCTCTTCTTTTTAGAATGGTCAAAAGGCTGTTTAATTACAGGTACTTGAATATTTATCCATAATAGAACATTTCACTAGAGAATGAATTCTTGGAAGTCTGACATATATATTATAATTCAATACCAATGTTAACTTCATTTCACAGATATTTTCTGGTAACACTAAGATAAATAAGATACTTCTTGTAAAAATCATGCACAAGGCTTCATGCCTTACATAGTTCGACTGATAAAGATTTTTATTCCAACGCTGTAGATAATTTAAAACAGAGGAAAAATCTTGGAAACAATTTCTGCATAAATCTCATTTAATAAGGCCTCTTTTTCAATGCCATGACCACTGATTCCAGAACATAAAGCAGTACATTCCCAGGGAGGTAATTTGACTTAAATGTCTGGTTTGGTCACCAGAGAAGTAGAAAGTTCCAACAGTAACCAATGGAATCAGAGAGATGCTTTTATGTCTGTGGTCTTAATTTGAAGAAGTCTGATCTATTTTAACTACCCCTTGTCTGAGCACAGATTTTCTCAACAAAAAAAAAGAGAAACCAAAAACAATGCGAGTTTCCTTTGCTAAAAACTATTTCTATTAACAGACAACAGACATGATGTTTATAGATTTATTCTTTTTCTTCTTCCTCTTTCTTTGGTCAAAGGTTAGATATAGAGAATTTGACATATGTACATCTCTAACTTGTAGTACAATCATATACTGTATACAGGGTTATTTTCACCCTTTCACAACTGATAACAATACTGCCCTATTTTAAATTCGCCAAGTCACGGTTTTGTTTACAAAATCATACTATTTTCTTTGAATTCGCTCTGTCTTAAATTCATATTGTATCTAAGGTGAAGGTTGCAAAAATAAAACGGAGGCAAAAATATCCCTGTTATACAGTAGATCTTAAAATGGTCTATTTTCCTTTCTAAATTCTTTTGTATTTTTTTTTCCTAATAAATTTTACACAGCAGTTAAATACAGGTAAACTTCGTTATCTCGACATCGACGGGACCATCGGAAAATGTCGAGATATCAGAGGTGTCGAGATATCAGAGTTGAGACTTGACGTCCAAGATTTCACTGCATAGCAAAAGACTTCAATATACATGTAGACTGTAGCTCAACATATTTCAGAATTCCCTCCATTTTTATTAAAAATCTAAGAAGTTATTTTAAAAATTCTTGTTTATAATTTAACGTGTTCTTTATCGAAATCTTTCTAAATCACAAAGTTTCAGCACAAAGTTACAGCATTCGCGTGTAACTTTCCTTTTCATCAGAACAGGATACGAAATGCGCTCTATAAACTTCGAACCATATATACTCGACATCCGATATACGGAAAAAAAATTAAATACGGATTATTTTTTTTCTTATTTCTTTCAGGAAGAATATACCTTAAAATTCATTTTTTTAAAGAGATTTGTGTATCTAAACTAACGTAGTGTTGTTACAGATGAATGAATTACGGCTGATTCGGTCAATCGTGTCGTTAACTGGATTCTTTCCTGTTGAATACATTTTAACTACAAAATATCATTAAAACATCTTTTAATTCCTTAGTTTGAATTATTCAGTGTGTTTGTTATTCATTTTAATTTAGTTACCTTTTTCAAATTTAAAAGTTATGTTAGGTTTCGATAAAAATAACCGTCTGTACATTTACGCAGAATCGTGTAGATTTAGCAGTGATATTACCCAAGCTGAACATTAAGCAATAAACTTCTCAAAGACGCCGAGGGGCTTGGGATTCACCTACAAACACAGTCTATAGAATTAATTAAGCAGCGTGCAGTCAAAACATGGGTGTGAAAGGTGTGAAATTTTGACGACGTCGAGATACCCGGAGTCGTCCGTGCGTGACGAGCGATCCTATCTGACAAACAGTAAGGTTCAGTAGAGCAGAAAATTGCCAATGTCGACATATACCCATGCTCTTGGGACTGTGAATATACGTCAAGATAACCCAGGTTGTCGACATTACCGAGGTCGACATATCAGAGTTTTTGCAAATCATTTATATAGTAAATACTGCCGGGACCACAAATGGACGTCAACATATCCCAGGTTGTCGACATATCCGATGTCGAGATACCGAAGTTTACCTGTATTCATATATCAGAGATATAGATGACTTACAGTTTTTAATGCATTCAGTATTAAGTAAGTACAATTTAAAGCCATATGACTACCAGTACATGGACAGTGAAACACGCTTATAGTGAAGTGCCAGGGAAAACTAATTTCATATCTTTATAAATGTAATTTGTTATACATATTTATTTACATTCATAATACATTTTGAATCTACAAGAAATGAAAATCACTTCACTGTAAGGATGAATTCATTATAAGCATGTTTGCTCCATCCATGATTTACTGTATAATTTGTAATAATGTCCCCCCTTTGCCAACTTGTTGTTCTCAACAAAACACTTGACCTGCTAGTTTAAAATTTATCTTTTAAATTTAAAGTAAATGAATGACTTTAAGAGGCATAATACAGTATTTTGTCACAAGCAAAATGAGAATTTAACTGAAAATATCTTTAAGCACTCTCCACCTTAACTGGAGAATAAAACTAGATTTACTGTATAAATAATACAAAGATCATAACATAGCAAAGTATATACATATTTTTATTTTTCATAATTCTTAAGATGGGGAGTACCTATAATAATCAAGGATTTGATGTAGTGAATTTGCTTTGGTAGGTCCACTAACTCCATGCTTTGATTGGGTCAGTGAAACTTAGCTTTGTCTGTGTGTCTGACCAATGTATGCTGTGTACATTCACAGAGGTGTATACTCACGAGATTTCACCAAATACTCGGAAAGCTTCCTTTAGCTGTGAAGTTTCTATATCTGGACTCAAATCTCCGACAAATATGTGAAAATGTTCTGGAAAAAAAAATATCAAAGATTTTATGAACATCATCATTTTAATGTTAAAATCTCCTACTCCCAAGGCATTCATCAACTTCTAATTACAGCTTTAATGAATACAAAACTCTACATTAAAGACGCATCAAAATGCTTCAGCATTTAGAACTGTCATAAAATGTAGGAAAATTAATGTGAAATTTTCAGTGAAGACAATGATTTAGATTCTGAAATGTGTGTGCCCGCTTTGTTACGAGGACATGTCAAATCATTACAAAGGAAATCCTTCAAATGGCTTTCTTCTTGTAGAGAATGAAAAGAAATGGAACTGCTAATATCCATGAACATTTTAATACTTAATCTTTTTTCCCTAACCTTTAATTTCTCTTCTCTTAAAACATCTAATAATTTTGAAGAAAATAATTATGCCAATAAAAAGCTCCAGCTAAGCAGAGATTTCTTTCAGTATTTTTCCATTTGGTAAGAGATATATCTCACATAATCACAGCTAAAATTTAAATGGCTAACAATTTTAGTTTTCTTGACTTCCAATTGACTAATGATCTGTAAAGTTGAAGGTTTCTAGCTTAAATGGCTTCTTTTCTTATTTGGTCAATTATGGAGTTACACAAGATCAAAAATTCCCTTTATCCTGCGTGACTGAAGCTATCGCCTCTTCTCAGGCAATGATCTCGCTAAATAAATAATTACTGCTAAATGGTCAAAAGTCATTTTGTTAGCTGAGCAATACAGATCGATTCATCTCTTGAAATTTAAAAATAATCATAGAAGGAATATGTTTTAATTTTTTATTAATGGGACACACCTGCTCAAGCTTGATTACTTGAATGCACTTAATTCACAAATTTGGTAAAAAAAATTCTAAATTCTAAATTATTATTTAATTCTCCTCATTATTTTTCATGGAATATTTTTTTGTACTGTGTACTATTATGTAAAAATTTATTGTAGGGGAAAAGGAAAAAAAGAGCAAAAAATCAACTGACTTTCTCCAATAGTGGAGATTATCTAGTTTTTTCTGCTATTTGACAATCATTTAAATGTTTCCTCTATACTGTTGTTGTGCAATTCTATTTAATAACTCTCTGTAATACATGGATTTTGTATAAAAAGTAACTTTGTACCTACTGAATTAACCAGCTTTTTTTTTATTATCTCTAGAAGGAGGAGTTGGGATGTGTTTGACATTAACTGTTAACTAACTTGCCAGTTAACTGGTTCTACACATATACAGAGTACATTAACTGTTAACTAACTTGCCAGTTAACTGGTTCTACATATATTTCAAGTGCATTAACTGTTAACCAACTCACCAATTAACTGGTTCTATATATAAACTGAGTGCATTAACAGTTAACTAACTTATCAGTTAACTGGTTCTAAATATATTTCAAGTGCATTAACTGTTAGCTAACTTGCCAGTTAACTAGTTCTACATATATGCAGAGTGCAATTATTTAACTGTTAACTAAAATGCCTGTTACATAACACATAATTTAGAGCTTTACTGTTAATTAACATACTAGTTATCTGGTTCTAATATAAACTGAGAGCATTACTGTTAATTAACTTACTAGTTAACTGGTTCTATATATTCATTGGTTGGCACTCATTCTATTTCAAACATATTGGTCACATTGATATATCTTTACAAGTATTATGATTTTTCAAGATGTCCATATTTGGATTAAAAGCAGTGTGTTGTTCCATACTTACTACTGGTATCTTGTTTGGGAGTGTTACTAGGGGAAGTGGCCCAATTCACCTTCATTTCCTGAAACAGGAAAAAAAACTTAATTGTCCTTTCCCAAGTAACCCATGAAATCTCATGAAAGATAACATTTAATGACCCATAAATAGAGAGAGAATCATTTATAAATAATATGTATCAAATATCACTATCCTGTTAAAATCATCAATAATGAAATTATAACGTTAGCAGGAATGTAATACAATGCTCTCTGGTATCTGGTTGTATAAATTAATGGGACCCAGAATGGAGAGAATTTCTCTTCTACAGAAAATCAGGTATCATGTTCGGAACTAACTGTCACTACTCATGATGAAATGAAAATTAAGACAAAACCAAAAAAAAAAGAAAAAAGAAAGCATTCAAATAAAGACTTGACAAAGGACTGGGTGAAATCTAATTTGGGATCAGGACTAGTGGTGATCAGTCTATGTTAATTGTCCAGCCTATAGAGCTCTGTTAAAAGGTTGGATAAATGTCAGTGGAGTTCCTGAGCAGAGAATCAAATACTGGTGATGTCATTACATATTTATATCTCTGTATAGAATTACACGCAGTGTAATTCAATCAACCTCCCAAATTGCCAAAACAAAATGGATATTTTACATAGCCAATGCCTAAACTCATTTATGCCATTGCATGCCCTATCTATTATTCATAGTCTGATATAAAAGGCCTATCTCATGTATAGATCTCCATCAGGTGAAAATGATTGGTTCCAATAAAACACAATATGTTCAGGGTTGAAGCAACCAATGGGAGAGCTCTATATTTAAATGTTTTCACCACTAATTTACACCCAATCAAATATTGATTTCTGATATATCATAAATCCCCCCCCCCCCCCCCCCCCCCACTAACTAATTTTGTTTAACAAAGATCTTGAAGACTTGATATTTCTTATTCAGAATCTTTTTTACTTGAAATTGGAAAAAAAAATTAGGCTTGACCCAATAACTGCTAGAACAGTTAGTGCAAAAGCACAATTGGGATTTATTTGTTTGAATTTGTACTGTACATTTCTGTCAAGCTCACAATTTTTTGCATGGCTTCTAAAGAAAAATCTCCAATGAAACTTTGACTATAACTAATGCAAAGAGATAAGTCACACAGTGTTAGAAATGTGGGTACATTTATAACCTCAGAGGTCTCCAATTTTAATTAAAAACCTTACTCTCCAAGCTCTAATTTTAAAACTACAGAATGTTTTCAACAATTTTACAAAACACTTCTTTCTTAAAATAACAGACATCACACTATACTTAACATTTTTTTTATTCAATAAGTATGCTGCAGATATTGCATAATTATAAATGTACATGATGATACTTCTACATTTCCTATCCCATCATTCAGCAATATTGCATAAAAACCTAATTCTCCTGGGTGTCTTTCTGTTCACTCTTCCTTACAAAATCAATGGCAACATTTCCCCCTGTATATGATCAGGATACAGCAAATGCCAAAACTTGACACAAAGCATGCTCCAGCTACCAGCTCTTAAACCATCACATCTGCTACAGAGAATTTCAGTCATTTTTTCACAACTTATTGATTTCCATCAATAATTCATCTTTTTTAAGCTTCTAGCTTTTTCATTTTAATTTTCACTCATCTCCATTTTGTTGACAGGTTGTTTTTAATAACTTGTGATTTCTTAGTACAAAAGAGACCATCTTATGGTGTTTTTTTTCCTTTTAATTCAGTTTCCTTACGAACTGCGTATTTTTATTAAACCACAAGAAAGGACATATTCTTTGAAGTCATTCAAAAGAGTAAAAAAAGCAATTTTCTTTCAATACACAGTAAATTGAATTTTTTCTCTCAGAGTGTGCTTGTATCTTTCAATTCCTGGAACTGTTCATATTGTCTCAACTTGAAAGACTCCTTAAAACAGATATCCACATAGTCATTAAGATTTCAAAATACACTTGAAAATATTTCAATTCATTTACCTTAAATTTGAAAATGGGAGACAGTATTTCACTTGTAGAGAAATACCAAAAAAAAAAAGAAAAAAAAAGAAAGAAATAACCAGATACTAAATAAGTTAAAATTTTCAGCTGGGCAGTCACCCCCACCTTTTTGGAAGAACGAGTAATAATGTCACCTGTAGTATACAACCCTTCTCTATAATCCTTACAAATCCTGCTAATGAAGCTGCCCCTATAACACTATAAGTTACTGTACACACTTTGTATGCAACAGCTTTCTGACTGAAACAGGTGGTCCAACACGTCAAACGCAAACACAACCACAAAAAAGCAACAAGCCACGTATAAGTGGTAGGTAAGGTACTAAGAAAATATCTGTATATATCTGAATTCCATCAGTCAAGTGAACCAAAAGACAAATTCAGCTAGCTAGTGACATTATTAATTTTTTTTTTATCCTTACAAGATCTTGAGCCTAGTACATTAATCCCACTATCTTTCAACATCAGAGTGACTGGTGCATTACCATAAAGACAAGTATCTAGCAGAAACATTTTGTCACATTTTACATTGTGTTCTTTATATGTTGCTAAAGATCCTTCATTATACAACACCAGAACACAGAAATATAATTAAAAATTAATAAATCAAGTCAGAATTACAGTCTGTCATTACTAATCTTGATCTTATATGAAAGCCATTTTAAAACAACAAAGACTCCCATCAGTTGGTTTATATGGCTACCACTAATCCTTGTCTTTTCCTGTCGCGTAATAACACTGGCGATGCAAAGATGTCATTGGCATTGAAAACCAGCTTCATTACAGAGATACTCTACCACCAATAGCTTTTCCGGCACAGACATTTGAAATCTCTCTCCGGAAACTTAGCTGCAGTTTACCTGAAAAGTCACTAGATATTTGATCAATCTTTAAAGTATCGTTGATTTTCTATGTTCCACCACTGAAGAACATGAAGATTTTAAGTTTGCCACTAAAACCTATTAATCGAGTTTCAGGAATATTCTTGAACACTAATTTGACTAGACTTTTTTAGAGCTATTGTAGACATTTACCTAGTAATATGATTTCCATGTGTCCCACTTACAAAATGAACTCACAATATAATGTTATAGTCATCACCTTTAGAGTTGTATGCTATTTTTTCTTTGTTTCCATACCAACAAACATTTTGGAAAAACTGAATATTTGTGTACTTTAAATCTATGTTAAAGTGTATTAATAACCATGATTTCAAATATGAAATGTTTTAGGTTGCCATAAAGGAGAATTCAATAGATTCTTATATTGCATTGGCCTATTGCAACTGAATGTCCCAAATGTACTCAAGTTTCAGAGCAAAAAGAAAAGAGGATTCTTCATATTTTTTTCCCTTTTAATAGCGAATAGTTTATGACAATATTCAAATATAAATGAAAGACACTAAGAAAATTTCCCCCTGACAAATTCAAATGAAAGACGATATAGTAAAAATTTCCTTCTTCTGGGCCCCGAGAGTTTGATTTTTTGGAGGGAGTCTACATTTTTTTGAGAGTGTGAAGGTTTCCGTTCAGCATTATCTGTTGGAAGTCATTTCCTGTGTCTAGCATTAAAGACGTACCACAGGAAACTGAAACATGTCTACCGTAAGACGTCATCAGGCAAGACCAAATCCATTCATTGTCGTCAGCATTTGAACACAATTGCACTTCCACAAGAACTCTTAGAGGAAGGACAAATATTCTGAAGAAATACTCCTGTATCTCTCTTTGATTGCTTTTTCTCTTAGATATGACATTTCATCATCTTTCTCACTCTAAAATACCCTCCAATTGATGAAATGCAATTGTAGGGCTTCTACAGTGAAGCAGGAAATATTAATCTTTATACACATGGAAATTCAACAGAGTGTTTATAATGAGACAGAAAACTGTCAATTTCACAGGTAATTGTACCCCTACATAAGACACCCTGTTTACCTGTGCTATTGGTCTGAGATCGATAAGATGGTTCTCAGTAACGATCACTTAAAGTATTCACATTATAATCCCGTCAATAACCCCATCAACTGTACAGCTACTAGGAAACTGTCCATTTTCACGACTGCCAAAACCCACATAATACTGGTGTATAAATTACACTTAACAACAGATAACAACTTCATCCTGAGCAATCCATATCATTACTGCAATACTTCACTTAAGGATTTATCAGACAATAAAATGACGTTTTATTTTCCTAATGGTGTCTAAAACAATGTTTCAAATAAATACTTGTTTATAAATTCCAATATTTATAGTAATAATCATCATTTGGTTGAAGTTTTTGTCTGCAATAAATTACCTTTCCAATAATGCACCTTCAGAGTTTATAATTCCTCCCAATAAATAGAACTATAAAAATTATAAAAGGCAAGAAATAGTTAGTAAGCTAGAGAAATGATACAGGGGAAGGTACTTGTTGGAATGTCCTACCTGAAGAAGCAAGAACTGGTTGATTTTCTGGGCTCTCTCCCAGAAATAAGGGTCCGCAAGCATCATGTTGGAAACTCTAAACAACAAAGGGTCCCTAGTCCGTCTGTCGTTTTCAAAACAAATGAGAGTCGTACGTACAGGGTAGCTTCCTGTTACTGTTTAGGAAATGGTAAGGAAATGATCTACATCCACTCCAAAAACAAATTATAATTAACTAAACAAAGAACTACTTAAAAATCCCCATCAGTCAACAGAATATACAGCCATGTTCTTCAAGTCAAAATGTTGAATTAATTAAAAACTTAAGTTATCAAGATCATCTTCCTGCTTATAAAATTTCCCTATGTATTAACAAAACTTGCATTATGCGGTAATCTTAAAAAATCTGATACAGAAAAATTGATAAAAAACTGTCAACTTGTTCTCAACACTTTTGATTCAGGCACTGTAAAAATCAAGGAAGTTTTAAAACCCCCTTTTCTTCCTATAATTTCTCAGAATGCTTGCGTGTAAAATTTATAATATTTAGGCATGCACTGAAGACAAATAATAAAACGAAATGAAAACTTCAGATCTGCACTAATTTTCACCTCAAAACCACCAAATGTAACCATTTT